ATACACATGATGAGATTTTGTTTCTTAAAAATGATTATTTTTATATGCCACCGCGTAATATTGATGAATATGGATAATGGTGTTCTGGTTTGGGTCAAATCTCAAAGAATAAATACGACGAACAGAATCCCAAAAAATAAAATTCCAAATGAAAAAATGCATTAGCCTGAAAACTAGATCCCAAAAAATCCTGAAAGTTTACAAATCCGAAATTCAAAATTCTGAAAGCACAATCGGTAGCTAATTTGATTGCGGAGAAGTTAGAAAAGCGGCTTTTTTCTGGCATGGTTTTAAGAAACACATCGAGTAAGTGAAAATATGTTAAAAAGCAAAGAAAAGATTGAGAAAATTATTTAGCCAAAAGATTAGAAGACAAACAAATACAGAAAACTGGTGAAGATGGTTTAAAGCATCAAGAGTTGTACCAATCATTCATTAAAGACCCTGCATAAAATATTTTTATATAAAACTTCATAACACAAAAACAATTTCAATTAAGAATATTAAGAATATAGTAAAGGTTTTTTACAGCCTGAATTATCTTTATAGAAACTATAATTTAACCCAAAAGAATAATGCGTTGTTATAATTTAGGAATCAACGGCTATTTTCAAAGTTTATTAACAAAATCCTAAATCTTTGCCGGGTTTGGATAAGAATTACTGATTCATATTCTGATCTTTTTGAATCTGGACTTACATAAGTCAGGGGAAAGGTTGTAAATTTAGTCAGAATTTTTAGAAATATTTCTGAATAAAATGACAGGTTTTTATTGAGTAACTAAACATTTTCAGCCTCAATAGTTGAATTGTATCCATACACTACTTGAACGATTCCCTTTGCTGTAAAATTAACACCAGTTGAATCACTTTTATAGACAGTAATTTGTGATGGATCGATTGAGGAAACATTATTAACAATTTCTTGGACAGATTGAAACATTAAATAATGATCTAATATTTTATCTTGAAACCAAAGAGCGGCACACCCTGAAATCTTAAGCGAAGCATTAAAGCCTGTACTAAACGTCACCTTCTGAACTAGAGCATAAAATTTGCGTTTTTGATGGGGAGGTATCGTAAAGGTTGCAGAACTTTCGCTATCACTTGTCTCAGTGTGGGATTGAGCTTGAGTTGTCTGAAAATCGACTTCCTCAGTTATCGTGTCTCCTATTCCTATACTGATTATATCTCCTAAATTAAGGTTGAGATTGAATGAATTGGCTTGCTTGAGCGCCGTAAGGATGGTAAAAGTGTGGTCATTTGTAACCGAATACTTGAGAACTGGAGTGCTTGTTAAATCTTTGTCAGAATCGTTTACAATTGTTTGATTACTTTCTGTGGCTGTCATGTATTCTGGTTTTGTAGCTTTGTAGAATGTAGTGTTGATTAAGCTCACGGAAACCTTACACCAGTCGTACTGTTGCATTGCGGGATTCGTTGCATGGAGATCGACCCATAATAATTTGGTATTGTGCTTGGCGGCAATAGAATTGCCATACGTAAGAACCACTTCTTGGAAGTCGTATGTAAATTGTGCGTCTAATGTCCCAAAAAAGGAAACGTAAATTAAATAATAACAAATAATAGTGTGGTAAGGAATCATTTTCATTTTATTTGGTGTAAATTGTAGTGACTTTTGTATAATCAAGGAACTAAATAAACGAGGTCTATTTAAGCAAAATATTTTAGGAATATAAACGACAAAACAATAGAAAATAGACTCTTTTGTGAACTTTGTACGATGACATTATTATCTTCTGAGAACCTAAGAAAGTACAATGTCATTGAGTGATTTTTTATGAAATCACTATTTTAGAGAACGAACAAAGAATATAAATTTTATCCCTCTATGAAATTTTACTTTAAAGAATTAAACAAGCTTAAAATTTTCCTTATGAAAATTTCTATTATAGGAAATAAAAAACAAAAAGTAAAAATGTTGAAATGTTAATAAATGTTAAATGATAAATGACTTTCGTTTATATTCGCACGATAACAAACATTATACGCACATCTTACATGTTTACATTTAGTCCTGATAACGGAAAGATAAAGTTTTATCCGAGGAAAAAAGAATAAAGCTAGCGAGTTCACTAAATGAAAATGATTCTTCAGCAAATTTGCATTATGCATAGATCACATGGAGGAATGTACCCCTTTGGGAAATTTGTTGATCTCTTTACATATACAGTGATCGTCATAAGTAACGAGAATCGTTATTATGACCATAAATTTCGCAAATTTTATTCGTTTGACTTATAGTTTTACAGAAACGTAGGTCAAACATAGGCGTTCAAAAAATGTATATACATT